TCAATCCAGTTTGGTTTAGTTTTTTATAAATATTTTATTAAGCCGTTTGTATACATATAGATGACAACATAACTTTGTATTTAGTCATTCATATACTATCAAATAACAACAAAACTCATCACATTTGGACAATAATTTCTCATTTAATATGTACAAATTAGATTAGACAAAAGTGGAATAATAAATATAAAATAATAGCATAAAAATATTATAATGAAGAAAAAAAAGAGACTAGAGATTAGTGAAGATAAAAAAGAAAGAACATAAGAGAGAAGATATTATAGAAGAAGATGTGCGCTAGAAACAAAATTGAAAGATGAAACATTTGTATAAAATTGAGAAGGTGAAAAAGAAAGAATATAAGCGGGTAGAGATTAGTGAACAAGAGGAAAAATGTATGTGGCGAAGAAGGTGTGATAATGTTATGAGAGATTTGAGAAGACTGGAACTGAAATCATAAGTGTATTAATGAGAAAATTCTTTGTAATTATAAGACTAAGGTATAATAGGTATAGGTTTGAATTGAATGTGACTTAAGTAAAATTTAGGTTGCAATATAATGTGGTTTGATTCGGTTTGGTTTAGTTTGCAAAATACAAACCACAAATCAAACCAAACTGTGCGATTTTGTTAAAAGATGACCCAAACATATCCGAACTAAATACGATTTTTTGTATTTTCAATTTAATTTAGTTTCGTTTAAGATTTTCTATTGGGTTGGTTAGATTTTGAACACTCCTAACAAAAACTATGTTAGACTAAAGGATGCGTGGAACTCTATTTTCATGATGACAACCGCATCGCAATTGAAGCTGACTTTTAGATTAGATGCTACCTACGTAATTCTAGGAACTTGACATCTAGAATATGTGGTTGTCAAAAGATTTATAACTATGATATCATTTATATAAAATAAATAGTTTGGAGGATATTAATAATGAAGGCATACATGTTCGCCAGTGTGTGTGGGTGAAACTCTATATTGGGCTTCACGTTGAGCTGATTTTATTAGGCCATTTAATTGATCTAAAACATTTGCCTCTCAAATTCTTACTACTGCATACGGAGATAAGATTCTTATAGAGTTATTAAGATTGGTCTCAAGAAAGTCCGGCTTAATGTTTTGTGGCCTTTGTGGGATCACCTAGTTCAGGGGAAGAGACTTATGGTGAGTTGAGTTAGATCAAGTGGTCTTTTGAATAAACATTTTATATGTTTGTCCTGTCACTGGAATGTTTCATCGTGGAAGCCTTCCATGTGGATCTAGACCTCTAGGATATGAGAGAATACACCACTAGAGCATTTCAGTATACTCGAGTACTGTTATGGAACCGAGGTTGAACCTTGGTCATTTATCATGTCTTTCGATTTCCATTGATTCCTGATCGTACTCATTTCATTTCTTTTGCTTCAGAGTTTCATACTCATAAGTCTTTCCCGAGATCTTCATTTTCCAGTGATCTTCTTTCTTTCTTCTACCTTCACATTTGTTCGTGCGATATCTCTAGGTCTTTGGTGGTTTTGTTTCTCATGTCCTCGAATTGAACCCAACAAATACTAAAGGTATCACTATTTTCCTTTGCCCTTTCAATTTTTTGTGTTTATTTCTAGTTGTGGCTAATATAGGAAACTTAAGCATTTCCTTCATAGACTTATTGAGTGGCGATGACATAAGTGATGCTTCCTTACAACCAAAATGATAAACTCCGAAATATTATAAGCGTCTACTTTATATGCTAGGAAAGTTTTATAGATTTCATAGAAATTAGTGAAAGTTATCATATTTTGGGGAATCCAAGTGAGGATGCTAAGGAGTCAGAAGACCCCTTGGAAGCGTAAAATCTTGAAATGGGTATGGTTGGAGAGGAACAAGTTGCTCCCTTCAAGATTAACATCAGGGAAGCGTCATGGTTTTGCCTTACTTGATCTTATTGGGTTGACCATGGGATATATTAATTAAATCACTAAGATACAATGCGTCAGTTAGTTGAATACGATTCACAACGAGGTGTTTTGGAATGAAATCCTAATAATTGAGAGATAATCTAATATTACAAGTTTATAAAGATATAATCTGCAGAGAAAATGTTTAGCAGACGAGATCTAACACATAAATAAACTTAAAATTGAAACACTATAAATGATAATACTACCAACATACAATTTTAAAAAGTAATAAAGCCATATAAGGTGATAATTTTCTCCTATTCAACCCTAATTCTACGAAAAGACCAACATACATGAAATCGCGCAAACTTCTTGTCGATCAGGATTCTTAACACTTCGTTATTGGCTACCTTGGTCGTTACCAACGATGAGAGTACTTATTTGGGGATACCTCCTACCTTTTCATTATCTTGGAACCTTATCATTTGTTTCTTAACTCCGTATTTCTCTTATTCATCTTTTGCCTCCAATCCCAAAGCCTGACTCTTAATGGCTTTCTTTAACGGTTATTTTAAGCAGGATAACCCTCTCGTTATTAAGGAGACTAAAGAAGGTGGTGAAGTGAAAGAGGTTAATATTTTGGTGGCGGTGCTCTGACGATTAATTCATTGAATTACTTTGGAAGTTATCATCATCGAAAATTATGCAACGCGAAAGATTTATTAACTCGACGTGCAATTTTGTGAGAATCACTTATGCCACAATTGCGATGTGGAACAGGAAATTAATGATGCACTGGTGAAAGTTGATGTAAAATCTCTTTGGTATGACGGTTATGGTCTCTGATAGGTGGAGAATGGGGTGTACCTGAAGGTTACCACTCTAATGCGTAAGTTAGTTAGGTTAGAGAAGTGTAACTTGCAAGAGTGAATGAATCATACCTTGTAATGGTGTGTAACTACACTTATATATGGACTAGAGTTTAAACCATTCCTGATGAACGCGGTGTGGAACACAAGGAGCTTTGGATTATATCTCACGACTAAGATAAAAGTGTTGCTCAGCCCTATTGCGCTGCTCTGTAGCAAGGATCTACCAGTTTGACAGTCCAAAGTATTATGGATTAGACTCTTTGAACTGGGTCGATCTTATTAGACTGTTTTCACCGGCCCGAAACAATATTCAAATAATGAACTTTTAACCTGATCAAATCCACATATACATTGTGATAGATTGGCATAATGGAACCAATGACAATACTAACTCGTGTTAACTTTGTAAAATTAAATGGTATAATTGCCAATTTTAAAAGTTGAGTCTAACAAATAAGTTAAGGAGACATAATGAGGTGGTGAAGTGAGAGAGGTTGATATTGTGGTGGTGGTGCTCTGACGAACAATTCATTGAATTGCTTTGGAAGTTATCATCATCGGAAATTATGCAATGCGAAGTGATCAAGTTGGTTAACATAAATGGTTAGGGTTGTGCAACTGAAATATTTGATTGATTCGACGTGAAATTTCGTGAGAATCACTTATGCCACAATTGCAACGTGGAACAAGAAATTGATGATGCGCTGATGAAAGTCAATGTAGAATATCTTTGGTATGGCGGTAAGGGTCTCTGATAGACGGAGAAGGGGTGTACCTGAAGGTTAGTACTTTAATGCTTACGTTAGTTAGGTTAGAGAAGTGTAACTTGTAATAGTGAATGAATCATATGTTGTTATGGTGCGTAACTACACTTATATATGGACCACGGTTAAAACCACTCCTGGTGAACACGATGTGGAACACAAGTATGCATGACAAATAAATCCTCCCCTGTCCGGCCACTGCTGCCTCCGCCCCGAAATTAACAGAGAAATCCCGATTTGGGGGCGGATGCGAAGGCGGAGAAAACTCGATTTTTATTTATGGGGGCGAGGGCAGGGGATGCTAGAACCTTCCCCGCACCCACCCCCGCCCCGCACCCACTTATTAAATTTAATTTATTTCTTTTATTTTTACTAATTTTATTACTCATTTACACTTTTTAATCTTACACTATCATGTTTATTAGAATTATTATATATTTTTTTGAAAATACAAATTAAATTAAAATGATCAACATTATGATTATTCTTAAAATGATTAATTATTTAATTTAATTATTAATTTTTATTATTATTGAAAAAAACACACATTTAAAAAAATCCAATTTATGCTGGTGGAGACCGGAGGGGCACAAAGAAACCTGTTCCTCGTTGAGACGGGAGACTAATTATTAACTCCGACCGGATTTAGGAACGAGTCTGGGACGCGTGGCAGGTCTGGGAGTGGCAGGTCTGGGAGGCATAGCAAATCTACTTAACTCACACACCTGCCCCATTCTCATGCTTAAACACAAGGAGCTGATGTATTAGATATGACGACTAAGAAAAAATTGTTGCTCGTCTATGTTGCATTGCTCTGTAGCAAGTATCAACCAATTTGTTAGTCCTAAGTATTATGGATTAGACTCATTGAACTACCCGAAACTGTATTCAAATAGTGAAATCTTAACCCGATTAAATCCACATATACATTATGATAGGTTGGTATAATGGAATCAATGAAAATACTAACTCGAGTTAACTCTGTTAAATTAAATGGTATAATTGCCAATTTTAAAAGTGGGTCGTACAAATAAGTCAAGGAAACATAAAACTATATAAGCCTTAAGTTAAGTGCTTTGCAAACAAGCATATAGTATCAAATATTGTCTTCATTAAGCAAACCTGTCATTCTTTTTTTCATTTCCATGAAAAAATTGTTAGTATATCGACCTATGAAAACAAGTTATACTGGGCGACCCTCGTCCTCATTTCATGAAAATGCAATAATTAACAAGGATGATATAACTCTGAATCTAAATAGAAGTCAATAACCCTGCTCAAGGAGGATTTTACTCTCAATAATATGAGACAGTAAGCACTCAAAAGCCTAGCAAGATTGTAGTAACAGAGAGAGAATTATCATTGATTCAACAAATTTCAAGAATCATTTAGCATTACAAGATCAGCAACCACACAACAATCTTTTGGTGGCTGAATTGAATCAAAGAACAGTATGAAGAAAGAAAGAAAAAAGCTCTCATTTTGATAATCTCCATTTTCTATTTCTATTCCTCATTGCAATTTGTGCAACAGGAGAACAAGTTCTTAGCTTCTGAACCCAAAATTTCATATCCTCTTTTCCCAATCTGAAACTCATCATCAAAACAACCCCAAAAGAAAACCCTAAAAACCACTCCTTTATGGCTTTATTTTTTAACAACAAAATTGAAGAAATCCCAACAATACAAAAGAACAATGACCTCATAAACATGTCCAATTCTGAAACCCTAAACGACCAAAAACCTGCAGCACATAACAACACAAAAACGGGTAACAAAAACCTCTTCCTCCTCGATTTCGCTCTCCAACCACCGACGAGACGGTTCATAATCCGATGTTCATTCGAACCGCTTCGTGAGATTTCGCCGACGATCGAGTTCAATGGTTCCGGTAGGATCTTGAGATTGAATGCGAGCGTGGAAGCTAGTTGAAGTATCTTTCGATTTGATGATTGGGACCAACTTCGTCTCCTAGCGCAGACGAACTGTTTGTGTTTTGGAGTTGGATGGGATTGCAAAATGGGGAACGATTTGGGATTGAGGAAACGAGATTCGATGGTGGTTTTGGAGATTGAAGGAAGGGATTGGGTTGTGGAAATGTAGGGGTTGAGTTTCACCATTGCGCTTGTTGTGTTGTGAGTTGTGAGTTGTGACCGTTAGCAAGTGCAGAAGAAAACAACAAAATGGTGTTACCTGTGTTTCTTATCTTTCAAATTGAGTAATGTTACTTATTCATTTCTCACTAAAAAAAAATTATACTTATTTATTTCACACTTTTTTTAAATGATTACAAATATATATTAATGGTAAATATATATTTTCTAAATAACTTATTAATATTTTAATATAAATATTACATTTTCAAATAAATATATTTTTAGACTTAATTGAAATTTTGATTATCTATTATATTCAAAGTTTTAGTTTCTTTATAATCAAGTATTTGAGCTTTAGTAGAAAATGAACTTCTATTAAACACAAATCGTTTAAGTAATTATTTGAGATTAACTATGTGTATTACTAGATTAATTATAATAGTTAAATTCAAAAAAAAAATTGTCTCTTTTTTTAATTACTGATTAAAAAACGATAGGCATGTTTAAAATTATGTGACACTAGATATTATCGTGCACGGATTTGATTAGAATCATTATCTCAAATATATTTTTATAAATAGTTATATATAATCTTATTATTGAATGTGTTTTAAAATTATATTAAATATAAAAAGTTGTTTAAAAATATGAGAATTCTTTGTATTATAATTTTATTTATTTTATTATTTTTGTTGTGTTTTTTTTTTTGAATAATCAAACTTTGATTAAAACAAAAATAAATAAAACAAGATGATTGTCGGGATTCAAACTCAAATCCTAAAAAGACTACTAGATCATAAGGCTAACTATATATTTCCTAATTTTAGGATGAGTCCACCCTATATATATATATATATATATATATATATATATATATATATATATATATATATATATATATATATATATATATATATATATAAGAATATCAATGATTTTCCCCTATATGATTATTATTTACTTTCTCACCAAAACTAACTTCACTTCTTTATCTCCAGGCTTCATATACAGTTTTCATAAAAGCAACTTTAAGTAAGGGAACTCTCCAACCCTTTCCTTTGCGGTTACTAATGATCCAATGTATCTCCTCTTTTCATTTTTTAGGATTGTCATTCACCTATATCCATTCAAGGATTTTTTTGTCAAATAATTTCCAGCTCTGCATAGCAGAAAAATATGTGGCTCAAAGTTTCAGTTTGTGAGCAGAAGCAACAACTATCTTCCCTATACAGCCCCATTTTAACCAATTTATCTTTAGTAGCCAATCGCCCATGACAAGCCACCTAGAGAGTGAATTAGGCTCAGAGTCTTGCAAAATTATTATAGAAAAGCTTTCTCCACTGGACATGGTTTCCATTCCCCCTTAGATCCCTTAAACCATCCTCGCATTGAACTTTCCATTTGCTATCATCTGATTCCAGCTAGACAGGTCCGGAATTTTTTCTCTTTAATTTAGAATTGCTTTCAATATCCATGAATATCCAGCTTTGATTCTAGTAGTCATTAGCGAGTCAACTTTGATATAATAATAATTAACCCATTTAATCCACAAATTGTCAGCTTTTGCACTGAGATTTCACAACAATTTTATCATACAAACGATATTCCAATCCTCCAGGGAAAACAGGTTCAGCCCACCATGATTCCAAGAGATAGGATATTTTCTAGAGATGGTGCTACCTCTTGTCCATAAAAAGGACCTACACAAGGCGTTGATTTTATGGATAACTTTTTTCAGGAGTGGAAAGCAATGCATCCAGTAATTGGTGATCGAAAAATTCACACTACAAATAAGTTGAACCATACCTGCGTAACTTAAGAATTTAGCACTCTAATGGGTGATACTGCTAATAATCTTATCAATCAACTTAAGTAATGTTGGATATTCAGTTTTTCCCAGTAAGAGGCACTCCCAAATACCTAAAAGGGAGATTACCTTCTTGGAAAGTAATGATCCTCTTAATGTCTTCCTTGGTCTACTCCTCAACAACCCTAAAATAGACTATACACTTCTTTAGATTCACATATCGGCATGTAGATTTAGAGAAATTTATGAAAACCTCCATAAGCAATTCAATAGACACATTGTCTCCCATTGCAAAGAGGAGAAGTTCGTCGGCAAAACACAAGTTTATGTCACCAAGACTTTCGCATTTCGCGTGGAAGTTAAAATTTGGAATATCCTTGAGTTGATGCAACATTTTGTATAAGTACTCCATAACAATGACGAACAAGAGGGGTGACAAGGGACCCCCCTTCTCTTAAGCAACATTTTGCTTTCAAATCCTTGGTATGCACTCCATTAATAGCGAACATGTAAGTCACAGTAGAAACCATCAACATAGTCAATCTAACAAACCTGCTAGGGATGCAAATTTCTTTAAGAATTTGTTCTAACACACGCCAATCAACAGTATCATATGCCTTTTACAAGTCCAGCTGCACCATGCATCTAGGTGTACCTACTTTCCAAGCATATCCATGTATCAGTTTGTAGACTAATAAAATGTGATCGTGAATCTTATGTCCAGGGAAAAATGTTGCCTGACTATGGTGGACAGTGCTCTGTAGAACCATACTAAGTCTATCAGTCAAGACCTTATAAATGACTTTATAGATCGTAGTGCAACACGAAATAGGCCTGTAGTCTTTCACAAGTTTCGCATCAGAGCTTTTTGGGATTAAAGCCACCAAAGTATTGTTTATGGGACCATACATCTTCCTTGTCTCAAAAACATTTATGACTGCAGCTATAAAGTCATTCTGAACAATGTGCCAAGTTTTCTTGAAGAAGTTTGCACCATATCCGTCAACACCGGGGGCCTTCAAATCACCAATGCTCTTAAGGAATTTGTATATTTCATCATTTGTTATTGGCTTCACTAGACTCATCATTTGCTCTCGATTGAGCATCATACCACTTCTCATAGTGGTAATGTTAATCCCATCTAGGTTTGTGTTATGGACTAACTCAATGACTAGAAGTGACCCAATCTGCTCCTGCCCTTGGCATAACCCAATGATAGCGGTCTAACACTCTGGTCGACCATGGCGCTTATCGTCTAACCAGTTATGTCTGACATACACGCCTGACCAGATCAGCGAATGTCTCCTGTCAGTCCGACACGAGTTGGGCAGACACCCAGGAAACGACCAAAACAGGCATCTACATGTAATTCTCCTCCTCAAAACAAACGGTTACTTACGAGCATACCTGCCCGTTTTAACCCAGTCCTGGAAGTTACCTATTTTTGCGAATCCACATATCTAGGACCAAAAATACGAACCAATGGAAAAGAGTCGGGGGCATTATATAAACCCTCACACATGTGAGGGCCAGGTATCTAATATTCATCTCTGAAACCCTAATACTTTGCTTGTATCCCTTTTCTCCCACACTTACTTGATCTTCAGAGTGCCTTGCAGGTACAACCCCCATTTTTCTCCTCTACTTTCTAGCTCGTCAAAGATCATGCTCCGGACAACTTGCAGGTTCTGATCAACCGGTAAGATCAAGTACGCCGTCTGTAGGAATCTATCTTCTCCATTTTCCATTCCCTGGAATCTGAAGACCAAAGATCCTTCTCATTCATCAATCATGGCCGACCATGATGATCACCAACTATCTTAAAATACCGTGCTCTCCCCCGCATGCAAGACCGACGGAAGCCAAGAACATCTTCACCTCAAGGATAACTTCAGCGCCCGTGACAGACATGTTGTGTCCCCAAATTCCATCGATGCTGATCACAACAATAATCCCTTCTTGGACGAACAATTTCCCAAGAACCTTGTTGAAGACCAACCCAAGATTCTATAATCGGTCCCTGTTTCGCGGAACATCGACCTAGCCATAGAAGCATTGATCACTATCGTCAACTAAACCAACTCCCTCATCCTCCAACAGAGCAAAAGGATGAGGGCTTTAGAGAGGAAACAATCAAGATCTCCCCTTCGGAGACACCAATGACATAACTCCTACAACATATCGCCTCCCCGAGGTGAGAATCCTCCAAGAAAGGAAAGTCTTGACGCTTTTTTCTGCAAGAAATGTGATTGAGCATCTCCCAAGAAGGATAAAAGACTCTCTACCTTTCAAGAAGACGAAGAGCACCTGCAAAGACGACTGCAGCAGGTCACTATCACCCAAACTGAGGTGACGAGGGCAGAATCCCTCCCCTATATGAGATAATGAAACCCAACAAGGAAGAAACCATCACTCCCCTCCATCATCTCTATAAGAGACCGATGAAGGCGAGCCCCGCGGTTCGTTATCGAAAGAAATTATGAAGGCACAACTCTCGATCGGGCTCGAGAAGCCTCCCCCATTAGGATCCTATGATGGTACGGATGACCCAGATGACCACATAGAAGACATCGATGCCCTACTTGATTATTGAGGCGTGAAGGGTGCAATCAAATGTAAGTTGTTCCTGACCACTCTAAGAAAAGGTGTCATGGCTTGATACAAAAGTCTTCCCGCTGAATCTATCACTTCTTGGAAACAGATGGGAAAGATATTTTCGAGGAACTTCACCACCTCCCAACGACATCTAAAATCAAAGGCGTCGCTAGAAGCGATTATCCAGGGCAGAGATGAGTCTCTGTGAGCATATATTGTTAGAACATAGTTTGATTCTACAACCCTTGTAAGAGTTTTGATGATAACAAACACAAAGAACAATTATGCTCCCTAAATTTATATTTTGTTTTATAGAGAAGTTCTGATGGAAGAAGATAAGAAGATAAGTTACAAAGTTGTTTCTGCTGTGATTGTAAACATCTCTCAAAAAAGTTCTGATGTAAGAAGATCAGAAGATGCCCTAAAATGCTATTTCAACTCTGATTGCTAACATCTCTGAAAGAAGTTCTAACACTGCAAACAGAACTTTGTGGCTCTGATCTCCAAAGTTCTGAAGCAATCAGCAATAGATACTTCAATGTCCTGAAGCTTATAAATTAAATATTTCCATTTCAAGAGTAATGGCTGGAAGGGAATAAGGATCTTTATTTTTGGAAAGCAC